AAAATTGCTCTGCCATGGCCAGAGGCAAAGCGCCGAGGAGAACTATCGAGTCTTATACACTCCGGCAAATCAATACAACAATTAAAGGTAAGCCTAGCAATAAACTTCGACTTCTTTTCTATTTTCCTCCTCTTTTGCTTTGGTGTTTATAAAAGTGGTGGTGGTGATCGATAGCGGGGGATAGCGTGTTGATGCGACCAGCGGAGCGATCGAAACCTCGATACGTGGCGAGAATCGAGCGGATCGAGGCGGACGTACGTGGGGGAAACGTGAAGGTGCACGTGAGGTGGTATTATCGGCCGGAGGAATCGGTCGGAGGGAGGAGACAGTTCCACGGTTCTAAGGAGGTTTTCTTGTCCGATCATTACGACGTGCAAAGCGTCGATACCATCGAAGGAAAGTGTACGGTTCATAGCTTCAAAAGCTATACCAAGCTTGATGCTGTTGGAAACGAAGACTACTTCTGTCGTTTTGAGTACAATTCCTGCACAGCTGCTTTCAATCCCGATCGCGTTGCCGTGTGAGTTCCTCAGTAATTTGTACCTTTTATGTATGCTTTAATTTCTGTGTGGCTAGTGATTTTCACTTTTCATCACCCCCAATTGATATTTGTTCATTGCCATTCATTCTATGCATACAACTACTTGCTTAAGTTCAAATTTGTAGGGTTTTGTTTAGCATATTATAGATTAGGGTTGTTAAAGTTCTACTCGATGTGGCAGCTATTGCAAATGTGAGATGCCTTACAATCCCGACGATCTAATGGTTCAGTGCGAAGGCTGCAGTGACTGGTGAGGATGCTTGGGGTTATTTTAGCTGACTTAGTTTTCCTTTTTTTCGATTAAGCTAAAGGTGATTACAAAGCAGTATATGTTCTAAGTTCTCTTAACCATTTGACGATAAACACTTAATTACTTTTGTAGTCGTTGGTGTTCAAAATATAAACCAACTACCAAGTGTTCTCTCCATGACGCCTTAGTTTCGAACTCGTCTCTGAGATTATACTTTGATTTGAAGACACTTATTTTATTAGCTTCTGTGGATAATATGCAGTGAATTTATGTAGTATGGTGTTCAACTTCAGCATATACTTTTGATTCAGGTTTCACCCTGCTTGTATAGAAATGACAGCAGAGGAAGCGAAAAGACTTGATCACTTCTTTTGTGAAACTTGTTTACCTGAAGGTCAAAAGAAGCTGCGGATTTCCCATGCCACTTCCAAACACTCAGATACAAAGGTATTCCCAATTCCCTCTCCTTATGTTTCTTTTTGGTAGTATTTTACTCTATGTTGCTTCATCTAATCATTTTCTTGAAGTATACATACCAAACATTAGGAGTTCGAGAAATCATTTTTGTAAGAGAAAAGAGTATAAAGAGTATGCATCATGTTGTTGAACATTGTTGATTAAAATTTACATACGAATCTAGAGTTCATACCTTAATGATATCCCAGTGATAGTTTAATGATACGGATTAAGTTTTAAATCGAACTGTGTTTACTAGATTCTTCAGCTTGTGTGTAACTGACATTTAACCCTAACATCGACATCATGTTTCAGATGGATACAAAACGGAAACGACAGAGGTGAAAAAGGTACATAAACCCAGCGTTATTTAGTCAAGAGACGAGTGGTTTTCATTGTTAAATGATGGTTGAGTTGATACTAACTGACTTAACTGGTTCCAAACCCTTAGTTTGTGTTTATAGGGTTTGGGGTCAGTCAGTGGAACTCAACTATGTGATTTGGTTGTACCGTGTCTGGTTTGTAAATTAAGGTCGTATTGTATATAAACCAAAAGCTGTTTTTAGCTTTAGATTCCTGGGATTTATCATTTGCTCTACGCTAAACACTTGGCAAATTATAAGACAAGATCGATCACAGACGAACAAAAGGAAAACAAATTCATCACAACGTAATTCTACAATTTGTGGTGCAATGGCTAAGTTTCACAAAGAAGCAGAGTATAAACTAAATCCATATGCCTTTCATCCCCCATCTGGCTTACCCGTAGTTGTATCAAAATATCCCTAAATTTCCTCAACATGTAATAAAACTGAAAAATTCAAGTCAACCAAATGGGTGTTTTACCCATCTATAGCAGACACCGACAGATTTGAACAAAATAAACAAAGATGAGTCCAATGCATCTACTAGTACCTGATGTGTGCGTTTTAGAGCTTTTGCCTTGTATCGCTGTATAATGTTATATATTGGCTTTAACTTGTTGATCTCTTCCATACTATAACAACACCGTAGAGGTCCGCCGAAGCCAACGAGTTCTCCCCGTGGTTCCGAGCTACTACTATATAACCGGACCCATGCAGACAACAATGATCTCAAGTGTTAAATAAAAAAGCTACAAATGAGTGATCCGCTAGTACTCAATGGAGTTTAACCTGTAACTTATTTACACATGCATGTTTCGGTCAAGGAAGTAGACATTTGAATCATCACTCAATATATAACGATAATAGCCGACAGGTATTGTGATTCGAAAATGAAGTTGAACAGTGGCAAGTAAGTGGCAGATACATTGTCCCTTGTCAAGGGAAAGCAGAAGGCAGAAGGATGGTTGAATACTTGGAAGTGGTCAGATAAGCTTGTACTTCCAAAGCGACACTGTAAGTAGGAACGGATGCAAGAATTTTTATTAGGAGTGTGAACTTAAGAAATTATATTAAAAATTTTAGGGGTGTGAAATTAGATAATCAATAGAAAATATAAATAAAAAACTTAAAATGTAAAGAAATTTAAAATTTCTAGCACCCTCAATACCTCCCTCGGTCCATCCCAAACTGTAAGTCAAATATTATGGGTTGTCAATTACGTGAGATAAAAACCAGAAGTAGAAGGTATAATTTTCTGAACAAACCTAAAGAAAGAGGGAATTTCTGCTTATTTTTTTTTAAATTACAAAAAGCCTCAAAATCCCTAAAATCCCCAAATCCTAACACTAACATGTGGCCGCCCTTTCCGGCCATGACCACCGTCGCCGAGTAGTCCTTATCATCATCCTAGTTATAATTCGCCGTAGTTGTCGTCGATTGGCCGTCGAAATCGCTTAGGATTGTGATTTTCATCCTAGGGCTCTAGGGGTATAAAATGTCGATTCGTCGTTGATCGACCGTTGATTAGTCACGATTTCATAGGAGTTTTGGTCGCCGAGGGGAGGTGAGGTTGGGTGGAGCTTCGTCGATGACAAAGGGTGACGGTTGGCGTGGGTTTAGGGGTTGAAATGAAGGTTTTCAAAGTATTGGGGTAATTTTAAAATTTATGTGGTTTCTTTTTTAAAAATATATAATTTTATTTTTTAAATTTTATATAAAATTTTTAAAATTATCATATATGACAAGTGTCACTTAACGGAGGAAATTGATGCCCGTTGACGGCTTGAAACATTTTGAGTAACAGAATGAAACGTTAGGCACCAAACTGAAACGAAATAAACATTAGACACTAAACTGAAAAATAAGCATAGATTGGACATCTTTTGTATAATTAAGCCTTTAGTTTTCCTTGTTTGCTCTTTATATATCCGCCCTCGTTAAAGATCTACCTACTTCGCTCCCTTTTTTTAGCGTAAAGTACACAAATAGTACTTTGATTATAGGGTAATATTGTGTTGAATCATTTAACTATTAAAAGTTATAAAATGATATTATGACTATAGAGTGTTGCTTTGTTGAGTCTCATACTATTAAAAAATATAAAATGGTCACTTGACTAATTAGTATGCTTAAAACCCGTCCTTTTTCGTTTTGATGACATTCTAAGCCGGATATTAATATGCTAACTGAGATATGATAAAATATTATCTCAGAGTCTCAAAAAATTATCATATCTCGTTCAACTGATTAACATTCAACTCATATTGTTGTCAAATTTTTAACGAAAAATGAGAAGTTTAGAACATACTAAATAGTAGGGGACTCAACAAAATGTTACCCAATGGTCACGAGACTCAACAAAGAATTACCCAATGGTCGGGGGACTATTTATGTACTTTACCCCTTTTTTTAAAATATTTTGTTAGTTGTATGTAAACTTTATTTAAATAAAATATAATGAAATTATCAAAAGAAACCAAACTTAATTCGTTCCACAAATCTATTTAATATTCAAATTTTGTGAATGTTGATTTTGTGATATACGCGTATAATCAACCTTCCTCGTCAATTTTTTGTGTGTAGTATGAAGATTTTTGGTATACAAATTTGCCTCAGCAGTAAGAATGGTAAATAAGTACAATTTCGTGAATTTTACACTATATTTATTATAATTAGAGCGGGGATGCATATAAATTTAGTGGGTAGTAGGCGGATGTGGATGTTAAAAGTCATACATGTCGTGAGTAGTGAGTAGGCGATGGATTTAAGACTTTAACCGTCCTGTATCCGCCCGCCCTTCACTCGCTCCCTCTAACAATCTACCATATAAATTTTGGATCATTATAAATTTATATATAATTTCATAAACTACTCTGTTAATCTTGAGATTTTATAGTATTTAACTTATAATTTAACTAAATGTTAGGATATAAATATTTTTAAAATTAAAAAACGCCGTTATATTTTAAGATTTTATGTATTAAGACCTTAGTTTATTTTAAAATCTATGTTAATCCTTAACTCAGTTAATCTTTGATTTATTTTATTATGCTTTTTAATGGACAAGTACAAATGGGTACGAATTGGGTAATGGATATTTAATTGGATGTGGATTTAAAAAATTTACTCATAGTAGATAGTGAATAGGTAATGAATAAAAAATATTAAGTGAGTATGAGGATGTAAAAAAAGTAGCTATACCCACCACACCCGTTTACCGTCCCTACTCAACAGCAACTAAACAAATGGCTCCTTTTATTTAAAATAGAAACATAAAATATATTAAAACTTTATTAAATAAAATGCTAGCAAATAAAAAGTCACCAACGAGAAGGCAAAAAAAGCAGGAAGCAGTGTTGAGGCTGTTGAAAGGCTTTCCTGCTGCATTTAAATCCGATTTCCTAATGATTGTTCTAATCAACAAAACTTGTTACGTACCTATCAAAATTCGACTCAATCGTCATAGTTTCTTTATTCGATTCTTCGAATGCTTCAATCGTCTTCATCGTCGATCGCCACGAAGGAAAATGGATAGAACTTGTAACCGTCTCCCTCGTAGAATTTGTTCTGGAATTCTACCCAATGAAGTCTCAGAGCATGTAGGAAAGCACTCAAGGTCTCCATGATTAGCAATACACCCACGGTTGCAAAAATAAAGATGATGATGCCAACAACCAGGATAACCATGTTGTCGTATCTGTAGCCATCATCACATGCATACCAAATGCACCCAAAGTTTAGACTTTCCATCTATGATGAACTCATTGAACGGAATAGAATATGAAATGAAAGGATCATCAAGCCAGGCAGGGATGGACCTAGAGGGGTGCGGGCAGGGACGGTCACTCCTAAGAGTTTCAAATTCCTATATGTTTTAGATATTTTCTTTGTATTTTCTATTAAAAATATGTTTTCAACCCCCTAAAATTTTATAAGTTCTCCCCATACTTGAAATTTTATAAGTTCTCTCCTCCTACATGAAATCTTGCGTCCGTCCTTAGAGCTAAGCTATCCTTGAAATATATGAGAAATATTATTTTTTTTGTGTGTTGGGGGGGGGGTTGGGTTTAAACATGTTTGGCTTATACTCTTATCTAATTCTCGTCCTAAGTTCAGATAAATAAGTCTTAGGAGCAATATCATAAGATATAAACTGCCAAGATTTGTTAGTTCTGCTCGTTGAGGAATTATAAGCATAACATAATGCGAAAGACGTACCCCCAAGCAAGGAGAAGAACCTTCTCATAGAACACAATTGACAACTGTGAGTGAGCAAGACTGCAAAAAGGGAAGAACAAACATCATGAATTTGCAGGCTAGGCTTTCATAAAATCCAACGACATTCGTATAAAAGAACAAAAACAGTAAAAAAGGCGAAAATAATTGTAGCCTATTCTTGGGGAACTTATACTGGAAAGCACGAAGCAATTTCTCTATGGAAATCAGGTATATGTGTCAAAGAACCATTCACCTAACAATATGCAGAAAAGAAAGCTTATCTGTATGGTATTTTCAATTAATTTATACAATCAGATGGGATGAGCATGCACAAATGAGCTCACCATCTTTTAAAATTTAGATTTGAAATTGGTGTTATTTCAGCTAAAGTTAGCATAAATTTAAATTACTAACAATATACCTGAGGGCCCATAGTCGGAGGTATGAGGCTGTGTTTGAAACTGCACCGAGCACAAACTCTATGGTATGTATGAGTTGATGCACAAAGACTTCACTAAACTCAAAATCCCCATGACCGTGGCCATGGGAAACATGACTCGCTTCTGAATGGAGAGTGACATCCGTTGTTTCAACTGGCGAGTATGATTGGCCTCGATGCCTCTAAAGAAAAGGCACAGCACAGATAATAAGTGATCGAAAGAGGATGTTTTGGTAAGAATTTGAGAAAGAGCATAACATTACGTTTTCATGTTGTCTCTTTAGAAGAAATGGCTTTGGTAATAGCATCCATGGTACGGACACCAGGGCAAGTAATAATAGCACAAGCTGGAAAGAAATGCGTAAAAATATGAAGTGGGATGAACATTCCGCCAGTGAATGGTATAAAATTAAAAATGAACATAAAAAGCAAGAGAAATAACCTGGGCTCTTTTTTGGCCCGGAAAAAGCTGATTATCCCCCAATTCATCAGTAGGGCTCAGGAACATGTATATCATGATGTGGTACAAATCAGCTTGTGAACCAGTGTACCATTTCAAAATGATAAGGAGTGATAGATAGCCGAATAGGCTGTTCAGAAATATCATCTGGGGAATGAATTGAAACCTGAAAAATGCGTGAGCGAAGGCAACCTCAGTCAGCGGTCAGCTAAAGACCTGGAATATCTAAGCAAAGCAAAGAACTTGACTGACATATCAAACTTACCATATATTCACGCTATTACCAAAGAATGTTGCATTGCAATAACTCAAAATAATTCCGAGGTTCATCTGAGCCACCCCAAGAAGGATTGACATTTTCATCTTTAGAGAGTTTAGAAATGGCAGCTCACTACGGGTACCATGCCATGCAGAATCCACCCCAAATGGGTAAGTGTCACGCACCTTAATTAAACCAATAGAATATGCATCACTGCAAAAATGCAGCCAAAAAGCAATGAGGAAGGGATTCTTCTAAAGTAGGAAGAGTATACAACATTGACAACTTCGCGATTGGAATACCGGCAAGAGAGGTCACGACAAGCATAAGCTGAGGGACCAAATAAATCAAGAGCTACAGAGAAACACTCATTATAGATAAACCCGGCATAAATTGAGAAGAGTGACATCATCAAAATAACATAACGGCCACCGAATGTCATTTCTGTTATATCTCCAAGCTTCTGCAGTTTCCAAGAAATATAATTTACTTAGTTTCCATCCATAGAAACAACAAACCAAGAAGGAAAGCAGATAAGATTACAAACGCGGAAAACAAAAAGGTATCTCTACTTTGTAAGCAAACCCATCGAACCAAAACCACAAACATGGCAAGCTCATATTTCCACAAACCCCATTACATGGAATCATTCACAGCATATATTAAGGTTAATGTGATCCTTATTGAACTTTTCTGTTCACAGAAATAAACCAAAAATCTCTTTTTAATATAATCCATTGTCACACATGTATTTATAGTGTTAGAAAAATTAAAACACAAGAGAATATTGTTCTTTCAGCAGTTTAATTAATCGTCAATGAGACCGACAAAGTAGAAAATAAACAGAAAAAGGTTAAAAAGAACAATGGAAGAATAGATATGTCCTCAAATAGTTTTCCATACCAGCATACAAGCGGTAAAGTTCTAGAAACTGGAACGTTGATAATATCATCACAGGCTTACCTGACTAGAAAGTTTCTTTTCCCGGACAATCAAAATTAATGTTGCAAGTAACAAGCATATTCCATGCCCCCAATCACCAAACATAACAGCAAAAAGGAAAGGAAATGTAACAATTGTGAAAACACCTGGATTTGCTTCCTGATACTTTGCCACTCTGCAGTTAAATGGGACAAAGATCATTTTATTTCTGCTTGTCACAGGAAAATTAATGCATGAACAAAGATATAGAACATACAAAGAAAAGATGGACACCAAAAAAGGATACCAAACCAACAAGCTAATAATAAGGTAAAATGGCAAATTTACCAAATAAAAATGCAATAGGAAATAAGAATTTGAATACGTCAACATGACAAAAAGATGAATACTGAATAATCTCTTCTTTGAATTCAATAGTAATCCAAAATAACTTTTCAGGATCTTTAAGTATGAATTAGGAATCTTGCCCCATAATTCTCCATTTTCTAACTCTATGCACCCTGGCAGACAATAATTTTTCAATCTAGTCATTACAATTATCTCTCATATAGGTTGTATTGTAGATATCAACCCTTCAATTTTTCATTAAATTACAGTGGAACGGAACATATAGAATGTGTACACCTAATTCCTGGGTCCAAATGAGGTCAACGCGTTTATTTAATTTGGACAGAATATGTTTATAGAAGAAGATAAGTCCATCAATATGCAGAAAATGCTTGAAATGCACGTGTATGTTACAAATTAGATATATCAATTAGGATATTTTACAAAATGTTTTTGTGAACTTACCCATATGCATCGACAATTTCCTGAAAAGCAGCAGTAAATTTATTTGTGCAAAAGTAGGTAGGTGGTAACTCTCTTGTATGCATGACCTGTAAAATGGCTCCAACTTGAGAGTTGGAGTCAACTGAAGCCCGCTGCAATGCCTCCTGAATCTGAATAAAAAAGGCTCAAACTCATACATCATTATCTACTAAATAAAATGTTCTCTTTAAGGTTCTACCAAAAACAAAAAACAATTCAAGAAAGGTCACGATGAATTAAAAACTTTCAAACAAGGACAAAGAGATATGTAAAGCACAAAGGACAGAAAATTAATACATGTTTTGTGGCAAAAACAGGACTCCATGCCTCAGCCACAAGACATTTCTTTGTTACATCAAGACTAAGCATATTCAGAGTATGATGGATTGATTTCTCCTTCTTGACCTACAGGAGCGAAAGAAATGTAGTTTACTCACTGAACTTGATCCATATGATATAGAACACCAACTTATGACTGCAACAATGCATTAGCATCTCATGCGCAAGAGGAACACATAAGCACGTATCACATGCAATGCAAAAGATGATCAACAAGTAATATAATTTAAATTTCAGACCTTAAGGTTCCATTGCTCAAACTGAACACCAATAGTCTGCAACAAATGGTACCGGTGAAGCGATCCAGCATCTATGGTAGATTTTAGGTCCAAAATTTTTCCCGAAATCTAAAATTTATAGTGAATGCAGAGATCAGTCAGATAAAAAATTCTTAAAAGCAGAAAGATTCAAGTTTTGCTAAGAGAGGCATTAAAATAATCGCAACAAGAGCAGGGGGTGTTCCTCATCAAGAAGTAAAATCGAGGGAGATATCTGTGAGAAAGAAGAAGAGAGATACGCATGCATACTCAGACAATCTAACTAATAGAGAATTGGAAAGCCTGAAATGTCACACAAACAAACATATTATGTTAAGAAACAATGAAGAACCAGTCTACCAAACCATTCAGAAAAGCATACAGAAATGATAATTTAAAGAAGAAAAAGTAATGATCCATACCTCAGAAATCATCAGAGCCTGTTTGCCATGGTCCTCAGAAAAGGGATAACGGTTAGCTCCAAAAGCATCACAGATCTTCAGAATTTTTTTCTTTGCTCTTTCTCCGGAGAAGAAAACCATAAATACATTTTTCTCCATCTGCACATTGATATTCACTAATCAAAGACAAACAAAACTTGTTTCAAGATTAGACAAGGATCTACTCTTCATAAGCCCAAGCTTCAAAACAATACCAGCTAACAACAAACATAAGCATGATCAATACCACAAAAAACCTTATACCAAAAGTCTTATTTTTCTCAGAAACTTAAAACTAGATCAATTTTAACATTCCAGTGCCATGAAGGGTTTGCTATTTTTGTGTACATTCACATCCATGACCATAGGCACATAATAAAGACAATGCAAGTCTGAGTAACTTGAAGGAACACAAGAGACATTCTTTCATGTGCATGTGCGTGTATATCTACCCGTATTCTGTGATGCAAGTACTATGCAGTAAACACCACTATTAATTTATCGTGTACAATAATTAATTAATTTCCTGTCTCCCTTCTAAAATATCAAAAGAATAGGAACAAAACTGGCAAAAAGAATCACCTTCTCTGCAGAAATAGGATCAATGAAAGGTGCCTCTATAGGAACCTGCTTGAGGAACACATTTCCCCTAGTTGCACGAAATAAAATCCTCTCAAATGCCATAGACTTTCCCCTAGGAACAAGGCCAGTAATAAACCCCAACTTCACTAGGTTTGACAAATCTGCTGAGGTTTCCTACATAAACAGTGAGGAAGTTTTGAGTAAAAGCATCCATCATAACTAATCAGTACAGTATGTTAAAAGAAAGATCCTGCTATACTTGCTCCTGTAACAAAGGAGTTTCTATGGATTCTTCACTAATTTGACTTGATCCCATTTCCCTCCGCTGAGCTGTAGCATTTTGTTGGGCTGAAGGAAAAAAGTCACCAGCCTAAACAGAAAAATAAATTATCATTTTATGCAATTACTAAAAGCATTCCAAGCTGGAAGGAAATTAAAGAGATACCAACCTAACTGTAGAGAGATAAAATGATATACAAACAAGATAATTTTATATTTGAATTTAAGTCCACTAAAATATAATTTTAGAAACAAGAACAAATACTGACTTAAGTCTTTATCTGATCAAACACGCAATAGCAATGTCTATTGACTCCTATCCAATTGGCAACTCAGTGTTTCAACTCTGAATATTTTATTGCTCTAAAAAAGTGTAATCTTTCACTGGAAGAATTAGCAACTGCACCAGAAATACTTTATATTACTGTTTCTCATGATGCAAAAATATGCATAGGAACTAGTAAGACAACCATGTCAAGCTTCATTATGGCAGGAAAAAAGAAAGAAGCCATACCTTCTTCAAAACACTGTTATACTCGACCAGCTCATTATAACTACGTTGCAATTTTTCACCATTTGCATTTATTTCAATCAGCTCTGCCTCAAGTTCTCCTAGTTTCACCTTGCAAGTGATAAATAAAAGAAAGAAAGAAAAGAGTTGAGTTGAGTTGAGTTGAGTTGAGTTCAAGAATAATATAAACCATATCTTAGCAACAGATGATGTACCTCTAAGTCATCCACATCAATGTCAGTTTCTGGCACAGATTTCGCTGAAGGGGATAGGCCTGCTTTTAGCATTTGCTCCTTGAAAAAACCCAAAGTACGTGCCATCTCTCCACATTTTTCAATCTTCATGAGAAAGAGATGTTAACAGACAGAAACAAATGCAAAATCTGACCAGCATAATTTCGTTGAAATTGTTAATGTAAACTTAAATTATGGCAATGAACCTTAACATCAATAAAATTGTTAATGTAAACTTAAATTATGTAGGGTTGTCTCTATAATGGAACTCTACGATATCCAATCTGGATTAGCCGATGATACAGGTGATCAATCCAAAATAAAAAAGAAAAGAAAATACCTGACCAGCATAGGTTCGTTGAAATGGACTTTTCTCTGAATTCAACTGTAAGAAATCACACACGCATACACACACCAAAACAAAACAAAACAAAAAACATCAAACTCAAATCTCCATTAATTGAATTTGATCCATCATATCAAGTACATTTTTTTAACAAAATAGCTTCTCATCAAGAAGAAATGAACAAAAACGAGATATCGATCCTTACTACTAACAACGTCGGGCACTTAATTCCAGTCTAGGATTTTAATAAACTACGATCAAGACTCAATCACCGAAGTTCAAGTTCTATTACATTGCAGAACAAAGTGAGATTACAAGTTTCCGACAAAAATTAAGCATCGAATATCAGCATTATTATCAACACAAGTGATCACAAGTCAATAATAATAATAATAATAATAAGCAGAGTACGGACGTCTTTGAATTGGAGGAGGCCGAGGTCGCCGAGATAAGAGACGGTAAGGCGAGCGGACTCCATTGGAATGATAAGCTGAACCAATTGCATTGGCTCGGAACGAAACAGATCCATCGGGGGACAGCATCCACCACGAGAGTCTCCCATTGGTTAAGATTCTATTAACTTTCCGGTGAGGAGCAAGCACGCCGGGATCGGTCAACGGAATGTTCAATCTCCTTTGTTTTGTTCGGTTTTTGGAGTTCAATTAATCAGCAGCGCGCGTAAGTAGTGGAAAAACAGAAACGCAGTGTCAGGTGGGAAAGAGAGAATGGAAACCGAGAGTGAACGATCCCACTGTTTGTTAAGATTTTATTTTTTCTGCTCCAAGTAAGCCTTTTATTTATTTATTTGGGTAAACTACGCATTTAGTACTTAAGCTATCAGTTATAGTCTGTTTTAGTATCTAAACTTTCAAATTTTTTTCAAAACATACCTAATGTTTAGTCTTTGTTTCATTTTAGTACATGCCTTTAAAAACTTATCGGACGAGATGACGATGCACAGCTCTGGTGGACGGACGACCAATCCGAACGGTATAACATGAGAGAATGACGAGTCGACCAACATAGTCCAATTTTAGGCCCATCGAACTGTTGACGACGAAGATCGAAGGATGAAGAATTCGAAGATTCTATCATCAATTCGAGAAGATTGATGCATTTTCCGATGAAACAGAGGTCGAAGTCACGTTCAGGGGTCGAAAAGGTACGGGCTGGAAAGTTTGAGCTTCATCGATTAACAGATGCGACAGCTGACGACTGTAGTCGCGACGATCGGCAAGCCCGCCCACTAAGTTTTTAACGGTGGGATACTAAAATGAAACAAATACTAAACGTTAGGCATAATTTTGTAAAAAATAAAAAGTTTAGGTCTAAAACTGACTAAAACCGATAGTATAAGTACTAAACACATAATTTACCCTTATTTATTTTCTAATTTCCTGTGTGGTCGCTTGTGAACTGGGGCTTGGTTAGCGTTGAAGCTGAAAATGGATTTTGATGATAGCCCATGCCCAGAATGAATAATTATTAATTGGATAAGCCCGTTCTTAAGCCGACCGACATAATGTCCTTATAGAATTAGTATCTAAACTCTAATTTTTAAATTTTAATCATGATTCAAACAAATTTAAAACAATCAAATTGTGATGAGTTAATTACATCATATGTTCTCAAGATATGACCCTCATTTTAAATCAGTCCCTAAACTTTTGAATTTTTCAATTTCATCCTCAAACTATGGCTCCCATTCTAAATTAGTCCTTAAACTTTTGAACATTCTAATTTCATCCCTAAATCATGACTCTCTTTCTAAATCGGTCATCAAACTTTTGAATATTCCAAATTCATCCAAATATGTAATTAGTTTCAACCATAGTTTAACCAAAAATTTGTTTTTTTCAAACATATAATAAAATAAATTGGCCTAACGGTTTTATTAACAAGGAATGTGATTAGTATATACATATAATTTGAGATGAAATTGGAATGTTCAAAACATTTATGGACCAATTTAGAATGATAGTCATAGTTTAGGGATGAAATTGGAAAGCTAAAAAGTTTGAGGACTAATTTAGAATTATAGTCATATTTAGGGATGAAACTAAAAAATTTAAAAGTTTAAAGACCAATTTAAAATGAGAGTCATACTTTGAGGATATGTGATGTAATTAACTCAACTGTGAAATATGAATGGAATCTTTAACTTAAATATAATGCAAAAATCAATAATGAAATTTTACTTGATAAAGTAAATAACTGCCATTTTTACAATAAATGAATTCTCAAAATTTGATTATAAACCATAAACCTTAAATTTTAAATAAATCACATGACATTTAAATAAAAAATATGATTTTATATAATTTACATTATATATATATATATATATATATATATATATATATATATATACTTTGACCTTCCCTGAATGGTAAATTATTGTTTTAGCCCCTTTATATTTCATTAATTTTCAAATTATCACAATAATACAATTATATTTTGATATTTTAAAATAAAAAAAAATTATGTTTTAATCTCTTTAAAATTATAAAATTCTAAATTAACGTAATAATAAAAAATATTATAATTTTTTTGAGTAAATCACAAATTTGTTCGTTGAATTTTTCTCTTTCTCCTATTTTACTTATTTAAATTTTTTAATGTAATAGTTAAATTATAAACATTAATTTTTTTTGTTACATTCGATTATGTGACTTATTTTAAAATTAAAACCAGTCGATTTTTAACTCTCTCTCTCTCTCTCTCTCTCTCGCACGCATACTTAACATGACATGATTTTAGTCACTCAACGCGTACTCATCCTAGCCCTAAAACCAAACATGCATACTAAGCATCTTCAACTCGCTTGTGTTTAGGATTAGGAGATCGAGATATTTTCTGGACACTAGGAGTCGGAGCAGCATAAGAATCGGATATGAAGTGTTAAACCCATAGCTTAAAAAATGGTTGTGGACTAAGGATGGGCATGAGACTCGAATTTGACAGGTTTTGACCTGACTCGATCAAATCAGGTTGGGTTAATTTCTTTTTAAAATTAAGGTTTGAATTTAGGATGAAAAATATTCGATCTGATCCAACCCAAAAAAATATAATTTTACCTTATATATTTAGGGATAATTGTAATAATATCCCTTTATATATTATTTTCTTTAATTAAATCCCTATTTTTATTGAATAAAAATAATATTTTTTGATCAATATATTATTCAGGTGTATATTTTTCGGGTCAAGTCAGATCGGTTGAAAGATGTATAATATTCGAGTGGGTCGGATTAACCGAAAACCCGACCCATGCCTATCCCAAGTTTAGGTATTAAGATTCAGCTGTGAGGAACTTTGAATCGTGGAACAAGGAACACCGACTGAATAGTAAAAAAACTAGGAGTCTGATCTAGCCTCCAAAACAAAGGTTTTGACCCAGCTCCAACTCCCCCACTCTACACTGCAAATAGCAAGTCTGCAGCACTCTCAACCAAACTGTTTTAGAAAAAGTGCAACCAAAGAAGATATGGTTCCTGGACTCAAGCTCACTACCACAGAGAACACGAACAACATCCACATTAATACCAAAGATCCTTTGTAGGCAATCTATTTAAAATTACCATCTAAGAGATGACCAAGTGCTTTGGAACGTGTAACCGATAATAAACCAATCTATGCCACTACACCTTGCCCCTCCTCTGCCTAACATCCTTCCAAATCTCAGCAATAGTGAGGTTATGATCAAGAAAATCCAACTGCACTGCAGTCGCCCTCAACTATAACAGTTTTCTCCAAATCCAGCTACTCCTTACTTTCACACTCACCTGTCAAAAGATAAATCCCTCAAGTAATGTGATATGTTTTCGTTTTTGCTGATACGAACATTTTAAAAATAAATAAGATAATCGTCATCATTTTAAATCCTATTCATATAGAAAAAATAGGTAAAACATCACCATTGATGTAGCTAATAATAATCCAAACAAATATCAGTTTAACAAATCGGTGATCAAGTTAACTTGGTTTACTCTCGCAAGAACGAGTTTCTTCTACAACCGAGGTAAACACCCCTCTTTGGTCTTACATGACCTTTGAACCAAGCGAGGAGACGGTATATTTAGCAAAATAGCAATCGATAATTGGATGTAGCTAATCTAAGTTTCAAAAAAAAAAAAACTGAACGGTAAATGTGGGATTTGATCATACAGCAAGTCTTCGTCTTTCATTTTGGGACAAGGGTCCACTGTGAGTCTGTGAGTTAGTATGAAATATTCAACATTTGATAACACTTATATGTTTGTCAGGTTTCAAACACGTGTGTAAATTTTCAATAGCAACTCTATTTGAAGTCGGGATTGCTCTGGTTAAGAGAAAAAATGAATTCGGAGGTTATTTGGGTAGACGTAGCATACTAGTGGGTACGGGTGTACTGATTTGGGTGAGTGTGTTTAATGTAAAGAAGATAAAGGTTGATGGTGATTAAGGTGGAGGTGGCGTAAGTGGTAGAAATGGGCCTCGGACGGTGTTTGAAGGTTACCAAAGATCATGTGGATAGTGTAATTGTAATGCGCTTTTCGATAGTCCCTTTTTCTTCTCTTCATTTGGCCAACGATGGTCAGAACAGTAACGGACGATGTTTAGAATGACAATCGGTGATGATCAGAACGATGACCGACATGGTGATTAAAATCTGAGTTTATTAAAGTTGAGGAAAGAAATGAAGAAAAAAAAAGAAGAGGAAATGAAAAAAAGTTTTTTTTTCCTGACATGTATTTTAACATTAAAAAATTGTTTAACTATGCTAAGCCATAACTTCGTTAAAAAATTAACGATAGAGTGAATGAAAAAGTTCAATGTATAAAATTTAGTTATTAAATTGAAAACTTTTAAAATATAATGAACGCAATAGGAGACAAAGTAAAGTTAGAGAGTAAATTTATAATTTACCCTAGTTTTTAATTCATTCATTGTCCAACTAAATAATAGTGATGATTGTATGCCTTTTTGTGAAAGAAGTAAGCTGTCCAAATCCATTGGGAATGTCTCAGGAAAGGCGGGTTAATATACGGCTAATATACAATATTATTGGATACATTAAAATGTATTTAATAAATTCGGTTTAGCGGTACCTATTATGTTGACAACTAATAATGTTTTAGGTAGAAAATATGAAAAACTATTAAAAATTTTGGTAACCGGTAAACTTTGGTTATCGGTAAGTATCTATCCTTTTTATAAAAGTGTCCATACTTTTAACATATCAAGTAAATTTTACCGGTTTTTTCATAATGAATCTGGTTTTGTCATATTTTTACCTGTTATATTGTAAATTATATATCCTTTTTATAAAAGTGTCCATACTTATTTCACTGTGAAAATATATTTATTATTATCTTTAGTTAATATTGTTAAATTTAAAATCTAAATAATATTTTATAAAATATCAAAACAATCAAATAATTTTTTGTGTAAATGAAATTATTAAATTAATATTGTAGGTGGAAAACATGAAACACTATTAAAAAATTGAAACATAAATTACATAACTTTCAAAAAAGTATATATCATTTTTATAAAAGTGTCCATACTTATTTCACTGTTGAAAACATATTTATTATTATATTTGGTTAATATTGTTAAATTTAAATTTTAAATAATATTTTATAAAATATCAAAACAATCAAATAATATTTTGTGTAAATTAAATTATTAAATTAATATTGTAGGTGGAAAACATGAAACACTATTAAATAAATTGAAACATAAATTACATAACTTTC